CTCTCTCTCTCTCTCTCTCTCTCTCTCTCTCTTTTTTTTCTCCTTTCCGCTGTAGGTTTGTAACAGGACATAGATATGGGCTTAGGTTGCTTACATTAGTGATTCCACCCGCATTCAGAACTAGCAGAAAATTGTAGAGCAGTAATTCAAAATTTCTACATGGCTTGTAGATTTAAAGTCCTGAATAGCAGGTCGGGTTTAACATTCTTGGAGATTTAATAAGTATAATTGCTGAAGAAAACGTAATTCGTTACTAAATATGTGTAAGCAAGAGTCTTTTTTACGCATATGCTCTACCAACTATAGTAAAATGTATAAACGCATCAAAAATAAATCGAAAAAAAAATTCATCTTACATAAGTTTTCAATTTGAAAGTTTTGCAGACGGTCGGTAAAAGGTGCACTCCAACGTCGGCATCCCACACAAAACTGCATTTTGCAATATTGTAATATACATATTACATATCGAGAAGAAAGAGCGATCTCGGGAACCATAGTTGTAATTTTTCTGACGTTCCAAAAACAAACAAGTTTCCGTCATCGGAGGTGAGTTTCGTGCCGCGCCTCACAGTACTTGTAGGTAGGTGGGGGGCTGTGCTTTCTAGCGGTTAGAGCCCAGAGCGGTTAGTGACAGTTAAAATTCGCCCATCTGGTTTTTGTTCATCGTCCATTTCCAGGGGACATGGGGGCGTAATTTGCTATCAAATAAGTACAACAGAGGACTTTTTCGTGCATACAAGGAGGCGCAATTTGTTATCAGATAAGTACGAGAAAGGACTTTTTCGTGTACTTCCATAAAATATATTTGAATTTATAAAGGCAGTCAAAATCAATGACAAAAATGCACACTATTTAAGTAGCCATTTTTACAGAATCAACTTTTTCGCACCGGTCAGAAAGAAGCTTATCACAGAGTCGGCAGTGACTGAAAATAATTGAAATTGGACTGCATGATGAACAGTATCTCAACCCTACTCAATGTTTTTTTGCGAGTAATTACTTTTCTTTTTAAAAGTGCGAAATATTTCTTGCAGCACTCGCCATACTGTATTATAGTATGTTATTGTATTGTGATATTTTCTAGAGGACAGCACACTTAACGAGATAGTCAATCTGTCGTAGATAGGCTTGATTAGCTTTTGCATATTTTTGCATAATCCAGGACTTGAACTACATATGTGGCACTGCTCACTCTTCACCTCATTGCAGCCCACCTCTTGCCGCCTATACTACACTGGTATCATCCAAGATGGCCTCCCGTCACGTGAGGCTTCACTGTTGTACGCGGATGTCTGTTCCTCTTCACTGCCCCCACCTGATGCGGAACTGAGCTCCAAACCGCTGCTCTTCCAAGCACCGGGAGCTCACCCGTAAGTTGAAAAATGACTACGATTACGATTACACATTACCTCTGTGTTCTCGGCAAGCCCTTAGCTATCTGGTATGCGGTAACTAGAGGCTTATTTACACTTGTTAAGGCTAACAAGGTAAACCCTAACAGCTACGATCTTCCAAGCCCATGGTTCCTTTATGTGAGGAGAACAGACGGTGGGAATGCCAGATTGTTAGGAATAGTGCATTCTGCAGAAGGATAGGAGAATAGATTGGAAGAGTTTTGACTCTCGGAAGACCGCAGCCTGGCTGCTAGGGCGTCAATTCCGGAGTCACGAGGGCATCAGGAATCGCCGCAGTGTCGGTGCATGCTTTATTACGGTGGCCAATGACGCGGCTGATGTCTAGACTAGCGTGGGCGCGCGACCTTGAGATGGGCGAAGGCTGGCGTCGGTCAAGGACAGCTAGTGCCTAGCCTCAGGAGTCAATGGGCGCGCACACTAAAGGCGCCAGGCGTCAGCGGCTGATCTTGGGTTCTAAGTGGCTGCTAGAGTCCACTACAGGCTCAGTCTCCCCACTGAGCCCCGCTAGCAGCCACACAGCGACTTAAGGTATACGCAAAGTAACATAACTAACAAAAGTAAGGCGAAACTGGAATGGCCAGTTCTAGCTCATGAGCCATCATCACCCATAGAAAATAGATTTGAGGTTGCAAAAATTCCCATCAGAGTAGAAGCAGAGTCGGCGAGTCTACGTAAACTTTCGACAAATTTTCATCGGGTCACTAAATTTATGTGGGAATGGGACGC